TGTTTTTCTTACACAGTTACTCTGCCAGATAAACTTTGGAATTAGTTTGTTGAATTCTACTTTTAAAATTGTTTTAAGATTTTGAGCCCATTATCCGAAGTGAGGTATCACAAGATCGGAAGAATGGGCTCCACTTGTACTTACCATCAAATTGGCACTAACTGATTAACACTATGGTGCTCACGTGGTAGCAATATTCTCCAGGGATTAGGGGGATGAGGGGGTAAACTCACTACTAAAGGACACAGTGAGCACTGTAGAGGGGAAAGGCACGCCTCTAACCCTCGCTTGGGTGAGGCAAAGACATAAAATGTAACCAAAATGTTTGTACCCTCATAATACCCTGAAATAAAAATGAAAAAAAAAAGAGCTAATTTCCAAGAATTTAAAAAAAAGATTTCTATAGGTATTAACCTGAATTTATGAATTATTATAAGGGAAACTGACTCACCACAATATTGAATCATTAACATCTCTTTGTCCTTTTACTTTATGTCCTAGATCAGGGGTCAGAAATCTATGGCCCACAGGCCAAATCTTGCCTGCCATCTCTTTTTGTGTGACCTTTGCAATGACACAATTATAACTTGCAGCATTTTAAAGTATCACACATATCACTATACGTCCATATTTTATTTAATCTTTAAATTATCAGCGCATTTCCATCATATCAAAACAAGTACAATCTCAGGGTTAGTCCCTATTAATTACCTTCCCTCTTGAATATGGGTTAGGCTATTTCTTTATATGTAGTAATTTTGGATTAAACCTTGGACTTGATTAATGCAGCATTATAAAGACTCTGCATTCTATTATGTTCCTCTGAAGAGCTTTCATTTGTCTGTGTGTGTTTTAGCAGGCAGTTGGCTGAATTCAATCCCAAAGTCTAAAATCTCAGTTCAGTATTTTAGCCTTAGCTGGGATGCTTGGAGTCTGTGCTGTGTTCAGGGTTCAGGGATGCTAGTTCAAGGGTTGGCCAGGTTTGAGCAAAGATTATACACAGAACTTGAAGCTTCTTCACTCTGTAGCTATGGTGGCTACCCCATACTCTCTCTTCTGGTTCCCACTGTCTAAAACCTCCCAGTTAGATGGCAGGTGGCCACTGGGGTTTTAGCCCCTCTTCAGGGCACCAATGGTACCTGCCCTCAGGTTAAAGCTGTAAAAGATAGGGCACTTATCCAGTGTCATTCTCTTCTCCCAAGTGCCACCTTCCCTTCCACTCTCTAGTGTGTTCAGGGAGTTTGTTTTAATATATATTTTGTCTAGAGTTTATGGTTATTTTTGCAGAAGCGTTGCCCAATACGAGCTACTTAGCTATTACTGAAACCAGAACCACTGCTATAGGTTTTTTATTGATGTTCTCCATCAGTTTCAAAAGTTCCTTGGGTGAGGCAAAGACATAAAGTGTAACTACAATATTTGTACCCTCACAAAACCCTGGAATAATAATAAAAAAAAAAAGTTCCTTCCTATGCCCAATTTACTAAGGGTTTTTATAATGAAATTACGTTGAATTTTATCAAATGACTCTTCTATATCTACCCTTCCCCACCCTCCACCCACTATCCTGGGGGAATCATTGGCCACACGTGACCCAGTAGCCTTCTTTAACTCCTGCCCCACTCACCTGGCTGTTGTGTTTCCCAAGAAAATAGTTAAGAGGGAAAAAGAATTTTCCATTTTTAAGAAATTCCTCAAAGTTAGTTGAATGTTGGTGCTCTGTCTTGTTTACCTGGTTGATCTATACTGGATTTTATGGATTTGTTCTTTGGGGTATTGTTCTCTATTCTGTCAGTTCACTAGATTTTGGAGAGAAGATGAAAAATATTCACTATTTGAGCCAGAAGTGAGGGGGCCACTATTATTATTCCCATTACAAAGATGAGGAAATGAAGGATTCGAGAGTTCATACAACCTGTTCCCATAACACAGTTAATAAGAGGATAGCCAAGATTTGAATCTAGGTCTTTCTGGGGTCAGAGTTTAGTTGTAAAATGGGGTACAAGTGGGAAGTTGATAAGATTGGAAAAGTAAGTTGGGGACATATTGGTCAGGGCCTTGAATGCCAAGATATGGGGTTACCAGTCTTTCATCAAACCATCATTTACTGAATACGAGAAACTGAGGTAAAAGATGCAAAGATGAGTAAGACAAAAATAAACAAGTACCTGAGCCTGAGGCTCCCACTGTCTAAAATACAAACGTGTAAAGAGACAGTGTAGCAAGTGCTATCACAACAGCATGAACAAAGTATGACAGCAGCTTTGTACCTAATTTAGTAGGTAATGGTCTAAGGAAGATAAGACATTTCTGACCTAGTGCTGAATTTTCTAGACATCCTTTCACAATGCTAAGCCCTACAACAACTTGTGTATATGTGTTAAGAAATCTGAAATGTGCTTTCTCCTAAGCCTTGGAATCTAAGGGGTTCTTTGAAAATTATTAAAGCACCAGTGGAGAGTCTGTATCCAGACAAGCATAATCAGGGTAAACTTTCTTAGAGGTAAAGTACTTTGATATAATTCTTCATTCATGGTATTTCAGTTCTGTGTTCAAATGTCTGCTGTGGAGGGAATCTGCATGTCAGGAGGCCCAGCCATTGATCACCAGGGGACAAAGCCCTCCAAGTGTGTGCGCCAGAGAATAGAGGGCTCCTCCAGTCACTTGGTGACCTTCAGCGTGCTTCCTCTGGAAACTGGCCTCCACAACATCAACTTTTCACTGGAGACTTCGTTTGGAAAAGAAATCTTAGTAAAAACATTACGAGTGGTGGTAAGAAAAACATGCTTTTTGTGATTCTTTTAAAAAACAGTTTTTCATTCTGGAAAAAAATTATCAACAACTTTTGCTTAAATGATTCTAAGAGAGAGAGAGAGGAACAATAGCATTAATATAACAATATGTTAAACATGGAATCTGGATGGAGGTTATC